GCAGCAAACTGTGATGAAATAAAAGTTCTGCTGCATGCCGGACTTTTGTCAACGCACACCGCCACAACGTGAACTGGGCCCATGTGTGACCGGGGAAGTTGCCTATTCTTGCTTTGGGGCTGAGATAGAAAAAAATGGCCAGTGGCAGCCCCAATGCATTTGGGGTGAATCCATCTTAAATGGGGGTAGTTCATGCCCCCCCCCCCCCCCACCCCCCCCCCCCCCCCCCACTCCCCCCCTCCTTAGGTGTATCAGGCCGGATACAAAGTATCAGTATAATGTATCAGGAACGTGTTGATAGATCGCTCAGCGGCTCCAATCACTATTAATGTGACCAGCAGGTAACAGACCCATTAACTAGCACGGTTCCCTCCACTGGGTCCCAATAACTGGAGAAGCTCCCTCCACTGGGTTCCACTGACTGGCCACGGTTCCCTCCAGTGGGTTCCATTGACTAGAGAGGCTCCCTCCAATGGGTCCCATTCACTGGCGCGGTTCCATTGACTGGTGCAGTTCCCTCCAGTGGGTCACATTGACTGGTGAGGTTCCCTCCGATAGACCCCACTGACTGGTGCAGTTCCCTCGGGTGGATCTCGTTGACTAGCATGGCTCCCTCCTATGAGTACCATTGGCTGGTATGGTACCATCTGATGGGTCCCATTAGCTGGCATGGTTCCTATTGACCAGTGTGTTTCTCTCTGATAGGTCCCATTGACTGGCGCGGCTCCCTCCAATGGGTCCCATTGACTAGCGAGGTTCCCTCCGGTGGGTTCCATTGACTGGCACAGTTCCCTACGATAGGTTCAATTGACTGGCGCAATCCCCTTCAGTGGGTCTCATTGACTGCCTCAGTTGCCTCCCAGTGGATCCCATTGATTGGTGTAGTTCCCTTCAGTGGATTCCATTGACTGGCATGGTTCTCTATAGTGGATCCCATTGACTATCATGGTTCCTGCTGACGGGTCCCATTGACTGGTACAGTTTCCTTTGATGGGTCCCATTGACTGGTGCAGTTTCCTTCAGTGGATCCCATTGACTGGCATGGTTCTCTCTAGTGGATCCCATTGTCTATCATGGTTCCTTCTGATAGGTCCCATTGACTGGCGCGGCTCCCTCCAATGGCTCCCATTGACTGGCACAGTTCCCATCAGTTAACCCCTTTCATTGGCTTGGTTCTCTATAGTGGATCCCATTGACTATCATAGTTCCTCCTGATAGGTCCCATTGACTGGCGCGGCTTCCTCCAATGGCTCCCATTGACTGGCGCAGTTCCCATCAGTGGATCCCATTGACTGGCATGGTTCTCTGTAGTGGATCCCATTGACTATCATGGTTCCTGCTGATGGGTCCCATTGGCTGACGTAGTCCCCTCTGATAGTTCGCTCCCATCCCAGATAATGGCGGAAGACAGAACACATCTGGATAGACCCACGGCCCCCCGGACACATTTCTGCTTTCCCGGATTGTGTGTCGGCTACAAAAGGAATTGGCGGCACATCATAGATGAATGAGTTTGGCGTTCGGTGAGTTCCTCTGACACGATTCTGCCAGATCTCATCTTCACACTTCTGCCCCAAAGAACTCAGAAACTCTGAAATATTTATCACATTTCACAATTACAATTCTAACATTGGATGTATGTAGGGAAATGCGGGTTTGCACAGCACCGGCGATGTCGGTTTCCGGACTCACTGACCTCCTCAGAGCGAGTTTACCGGGAGGAAATTATCTCTTCTTTCCTGTGGGGATACAATCTGCTCTCTGCAGCTACAATGTATCCAGACTGTGGCTTTGTGCCATCTTCCCGGGACAACGGAAATAACGAGATTATAAAACAATATATCTGTAGCCCGATCTATTATTCTATAGCTCTGCTGTATGTGTACATTGGGGAGATTTCCCTTAACTTCCTGTCCAGGAAGGCCCAACAGGAAGTGAGGTAAAATCCCATCAAATTGAAGGAAACTCCCCAAGACTGTTGTTACCAGAACAAGTGTCCCCATTGGAGGATTTCCCCTCTATTCCAGTTCTGGCAACCATTGAGACTTTTTGGATTTTCCCTCCTTTCCTGTCTCAGTGACAATGATGACCAGAGAGAGGGCGAGTCTCCCAAGACAGGACACCCAACAATAAAAATAATCGATAATAAGTCCAATGAGAGCGCCAAATTGAGTCCAAAAATAATATTGTTTAGTGATTTTCCCCATTGTTCTCCTACGGGTCACGGGAGGACACAAACTAGCGTCCTTCCGTCACCCAAAGCTCAGTATACCGCGAGCTGAGACGCCGCAGCCGGGACAGATCCTAAAATTACTGTCGAGATCCGCCCAGCTGCGTGAGTGACAGCTGGCTCTGCCTACCTATAGGCAGAGCCAGCTGTACCCGCCCCCTCCCCCGTCCGTTCCGCCAGTCAGCGCAGGAGGATCAGAGTGGGGAAATCCCTGCAGGGAGCCATGAGTGACAGTCACGGCTCTCTGCAGGGAGATGATCGAGAAGTGAGCGAGCGACGGTATGTGATCTATTGAGCCGACTTGTGACAGTCTCATTGTCACACGTCGGCTCGAACTATGAGGATAAGTAAAAATCACCCGCCTCATAGTTCTCCTTTAATAATGATGTTAGTTCAGAAAACATTAACCAGCCAACGCATTTCGGTGGTTTGCAGATTCCCCCCTCCCCCCTCCCTTCAGGGCTACAAGAACAATATGAATATGGGTGTAAAACATACATTTTTATATGAATTCACGAATAAACAAAACACAACGAAATTCATGGCAATCAGAAATCCTCCTAAAAAACTCTTCTACTATGGCGGATTATATCAATAAACAGGGACCCGGAGAACACAAGATGGGAGCAGAGATCACAAAAACATTTTTTAATAGCTAAATAAATTGCAATAAGAGTAGATACAAAAAAAAAAAACCTGAAAATAGAGACAAGATCACTTTATAACATCATTAAAATGATTATTAGATTAAAATAAAAACTACAGTCTCAGTACAAATGAGTAAACTAAACATGAGATTGTAGTCCATCCCGGGGGGGAGCTTGGAGCGGTGACTACTTTACAACACACACAGGGACCATGGGGAACAGACGTAGTAACCCTCCAGAAGGAAGGACAGTGTCAGAGATGATTGGAGGATCTACGCCCGAGTGATACACAAATAAGATACATTGATGCTCAGAGTTCAGGGACTCGGATGGATTTGTAGGATTTATCTCCGGAGTTTAGTGTCATTTTTAGTTTATATGATACTCTTTATTAGCCAACAGAAACTTGATGCAAACTTTCAGGAGGCCTTTGGTCCCTTCTTCAGGCTTTATACAATTCAGAAAATGGCTCTGAAACCCTCTTATTCCCAGAGTTCCAGGAAGAATCAATAAATACATATTTTAGGACTGTGAAGGTTTTCATTCAGCCAGGTCATGGTGGAGCTAGTGGTAGTTGTCACATTCAGCTGGACTTGTTTTGTAATGTTTGTGAGTCACTTCTTGGACGAGCTACAATACTTATTAGAAGTGAAGAATTGGCTTGGATAAGCCATAAAATGTCTTTAACATCCTAGAACAAGTCCAGATGAATGTGAACAACTACTACCGGCTATCAATATGTTTAACAAACGACCATTTTATCTTAACACACTTGAGTGGTAAATGTTGTAAAGGGTTCGGGCTATAGAGATGGAGATCAGAGATTACAAGTGTGATTGTGGTCATTAAGTCAACCATAAGAAGTCCTGGCACAATGTGGACCTCAAATGAGAGTTGTCTTGCAAGGTGTATATACCAGAGAAGCAATGAGATACAACCAATGATGAGATACAACCAATGATGAGATGCAACCAATGATGAGATGCAACCAATGATGAGATGCAACCAATGATGAGATGCAACCAATGATGAGATACAACCAAGAATGATATACAACCAAGAATGAGATACAACCAAGAATGAGATACCACCAATACATGAGATACCACCAATACATGAGATACCACCAGTACATGAGATACCACCAGTACATGAGATACCACCAATACATGAGATACAACCGATAATGAGATACAACCGATAATGAGATACAACCGATAATGAGATACAACCGATAATGAGATACAACCGATAATGAGATACAACCAATAATGAGATACAACCGATAATGTGATACATCCGATAATGAGCTACAACCAATAATGAGATACCACCAAGAATGAGATACAACCAATAATGTGATACAACCGATAATGAGATACAACCGATAATGAGATACAACCGATAATGTGATACAACCGATAATGTGATACAACCGATAATGAGATTACTTGGTGACGAGGGAGTATAGAGCCGGCCAATCAGGAAGCCATGCAGCATGTAATGACTCGCTGCCCGGCTTGCTGATTGGTCAGGAAGATGCCCAGTGAGAAAGCCGGACAGCGAGACATTACCCGCCCCCCCGACTTCCTGATTGGCCAGAAGACCGGCTTCATGCTCCCTCGTCACCTGGTGACGAGAAAGCATGAAGCCAGCTTCCCAGCCAATCAGGAAGCCATTTGCCGCCTGGCTTCCTGATTGGTCAAGAAGCTGGCCAATCAGGAAGCCAGGCGGCGAGTCATCACCCGTCCTCCGGCTTTCTAATTTGCCAGAAAGCCATTTCCATGCTTCCACGTCACCTGGTGAGGAGGAAGCATCGAGACGGCTTCCCTGCTAATCAGGAAGCTGGGTGGCGAGTCATTACTCACCAAATAAAGAACTCAGAGGAGCTGTGTCACGGGGAGGAAATGGAATAAAGTTAGGGAGGGATATAGAGGAAGTCAGGCAAACTTTCATATCACCGTATTCAGCCTCGTACACGCGGGCGCAGGATGTGAAAGCAGATCCAGCAATAAGTAAACAGGTCTGGCCTTTCTTTTTCCATTTTGATTAGAGTCACAGGTAATGGTTATATTTCCCTTCACTTCCTGTCTCGGAAACATTAACAGGAAGTGAGAGGAGATCTCTCCCAAATGGGAGGAAATCCCTTCTTGGGCAGTTGTCACCAAAAGAGGTGTCCCTGGTGGAAGATTTCCCCTCACCTCCTGTTCTGGTGAGGATTTCTCATCACTTTCTGTCTGGGTAACAACAGCCATCAGGACCAATAGGGAGGGTGAAACACAGACAGCAAAACGGAACTCAGTCATTGGTCCCGAGACTCCCGCACTCCATCCAATGCTAGAAACAGTTTTGTCTATAGATTGACTTCAATTAAATGCATTTCTGAAGCCCCTTTCTGCTTACAAACCACCAGACCCAACAGACTCTCTCTGCCTGGGAGGGGGGTCCTTGGCTGACATCACCAAGTGCCCCTTCTTACGAGGCCACCCTGCACCGTGTATACACAATAACACCGATGATTCACCCGGCACTGTGACCAGAGTGTATCTGTAAAAAGTAAATCAAAGCAACTGGACTTCCTGTCATTTTTCTTGAAGACGTTTTGCTGGTCATCCGACTAGCTTTGTGACTTGAGAAAGCTGGTTGGATGACCAGCGAAACGTCTTCAAGAAAAATACAGCAAGTCCAGTTGCCTTGATTTACTTTTTACAGATACACCATGACCTGGATGAATGAGAACCTTGACAGACATGTGACCAGAGTGTAACGTATCATTGACAGTCAGAGAGTTTGGGGTGGTGGTGGGGGAAGGTATGAAGGGCGGGGGTAACGGATCGTACCGTGAGTCGGCGTCTTTTCTCTTCTGCGAACCCCTGTCGATCTACCTCTGTCATACTCTGAGCCCACGTCATGTCCCTCACCTTCAATCAGAGTGTAATATTTGCCGCTCTCGTGCCCGAGGAAGTAGCTGGGCGACTCCGAGCCCTTCATCCCCATCTTGCCGACGCCGTACTTGTTGATGTCATCGCAGGACACGATGCCGATGTCGTCTCTGTGCAGATGGAAAGACGTTGGACAAGAACGTGAGAACAAACCCTCGAAGGGGACCGACAGGCAAACGGATGAATAAGCAGATTAAAGGATTTGTATTTTTGTCCATCCAGCCCTGGTATTGACACAGCTCTTGCACACAGCACAGTCCTGCCTGGCAGGGATGAAGACCTGATTCGTCTCTGATGCATTTTCACTTTTACTTACAGGTCCCCCTCCCACCCCCGCCGTGTGATTGGACAGTGAAAGGAGAAGCAGCACACTGATGAGCTGATTTCCCTTGATAATAAGACACTTACCTTGGGCCATACAGTCCAGACACGGGGGAAAGGATGAAGACGTCATGTAGGGTGGAGCTGTCCACCTTGGAAGGCATTCCCATTGTTCCCGTGGGGGTTGTGTTACCACTCGTGGGACTGGTTGGAATCACAGGCTGAAGAACAACAAACAAATGTGTATACAGGTAAGTATATACCATATGTACTGTACAGGAGGCGCCATATTACTTACAAGGTCCTGCTCCTTATGGGTGGGGGAGGAAGGGTG